TGGGGGAGATAGTCGAGGGCGAGTCCTAACAATGATTGTATGGCCAACTGCGTATCTGCAATATCTGCGCCTAACAAATGTGTCACTACGCACAACTGAGAATTGTACGTTTCATAACCGTAGGCAACAGACCCAGATGACCAGAGTAGCTCTTGCGGCTCTTGTTACTGAAAGAATTACCTGTTGTTTCTGTTTTACTGAAAGAATTACTCGTTGTTCCCTGTTTTTACTGAAAGAATTACTGTTGTTCCCTGTTTTACTGACAGAATTACGCACGTTGTTTCCTGTTTTAAAATGACACGAAGTCTACCTCGCTTCCCCCTGTTTTAAGAACAAAGAGAATTAAGCTCATTTGTTTCCCTGTTTTAATGCAGAATTTACTCATTGCTTCCCTGAGTTTTATTCTGAAAGAATTACTTGTTGTTCCCTGTTTGTACATGCAAAGGGAAATTACTTTGTTGTTCTTTCGTTTTCTGGACAAATAATTACTCGTTGTTCGTTTTACGGAAATAATTACTTGTTGCTTCCCTGTTTTAATGAAAGAATTACTTGTTGTTCCCTTGTTTAATGAAAGAATTACTTGTTGTTTCCCTGTTTTAATTGAAAGAATTACTTGTTGTTCCCTGTGTTTTACTGGAAGAATACTTGTTGTTTCCTGTTTTACTGAACAGAAATTCTGGAGTCTCCTTTGCGCGTCTTTCATCATGAATGTGGAGGATTTCGAGAAATACTATGAGAAAATATTTTGAGGCTATTAAGCAATTTTGTCCGGGGAAAATCACGGTACAAATCCTGGTTTTTAGCCCCTCTAAAAATTCCAAACTATCCTAATCGCCGTCTTCCAGGGAACACTGCCGGGATTGTCTTATCGTGTTCGTCAGGGACACTTCCGGAAATGTTTCGTGATCGTATCCGTGACGCGCTCCCGTTGTCGTGCTGCCCAGTTTCTGAAGCAGCGTTGCTAAAACGGCAACGTTGACCAACCACAGCTGGCCCGTGGGTCGCCCGACCGTCGCTCGCAGCTGACTCCAGGACCCAGTAAAGAACTACCTGGAGATAACACACTGCCTGCAGTGGGTGGAGTAGCATGATGATGAGATGATGATGATGATGATGATGATGAGTGAATGATGATGGTGATGATGATAGATGATGACGATGATGGTGATGATGAACGATGATGATGATGATAATTGGTGATTGTGATGGTGATGGTGATGATGATCGGTGATGATGATGATGATGATTGACGGATTGACGATGACGGCGTGACGTATGAATGATGGAGTCATGATGGGACTGATGATTTATAATTTCGGTAAAAATTATAAGGCAGTGCAGACAGAGATGTGGCGTGGTGTGTACATTTAAGTAATGCTTGTTTTACCGTTCTGCTAGTCTGTTAGGCTGTGTGATCGCATCCTAAATGGTTGGTGCTGCCACCTCTCAGATGATTTGTTGTAGCTCCTGATATATTTCACTTGCTAGGGTTAAAGTGATTACGCCACCGTAAATAGTAAAATAAAAATAAAAAATATTTCCGATTAGTGTTCACAAAGATATGTAAGTAATGCCTGTTCACTATTTTTAGGCTCATCGACATAGTCAAGATGCCAGCTTGTAGAATGCGCTGATCGTCCGGTCGCGTGCCGTCGCGTGCCGTTCGTCCGCGTCCGTCCGTGCGTCCGTCCGTCAACAGAGTTCGGGCACGAAATCTTAATGCCGCTCGAGTACGGGGTCACGATATGTGCGGAGCGTGGGGGGTTAATCCGAAAACGAGTGGATGTCGAAGGCTGGGTCGAAAGGTCAAAGGTGCAAGAGTGTAAAAGAAGGGAGAAATTCCCTTCCTTAACTTAAGTATAGGAGGAAATGCAGAATGTGCGGCAGCAGAATCTAAAAACGCTCGACTAGCGCTCGTGATTAGTCGGTGTATAGCATCATGGTTAAGGAAAAGCCATCACTGCGCCGAAATTGGAGGAGTCACAGTCAAAAGGTCAATGGCACAGGGCCAATTTAGACATTTTCTGAGGACATGGTGTGAGCCGAGCGGATTGAAAACTTTTTGTTTCAGCGGTGGACCTACCATTTTTATGGCTTATTGAAAGACATGGAAATGTGCTTTCACTGGACCGTGTAGAAGAGTAAGTGTCTGATAACCTTCTTGACGCCTCAGGAGCGAGGGTTAAAAACATGGATTTGCTGAGCTGTTAGACAAAGAGTGAAGGCTGCTTTTGCTTTAGAAGCCCCGCTCCCCCCAACCCTCCCCGCCTTCCTCCTCCCACACCCCCTCCCCCCGCCCCTTCCCCCACCCTCCCCACCGCCTCGCCCCTACCCTCCATGCTGCGTCTTAGTGGGCGTGTCCTAACCAATGATGTGTACGCAAGCTGCGTCGGTCTTGCGCATATCGATGAAACCGAACTAACAAAAAGAAAAAACAGTATGTGGGTAGTACGCGACGCTGAAATTTTCGTTTCATAACTCGTAGGCAACAGACCTCGAGATGAGCCCAGGACGCCTCTGCGGCTCTGTGTTATCGGTTAAATTGCCTTGGCATAATACTTCCTGTTTTACTATATTGTTCTGATGGTTAACATTACTACTCGTGACTGCATACATAGCCCATATTTCTCAGGCAAGCAATTAATGCTGGCGAACATTAATATCAAATCGTCCAGGTTTTTTGGATTTTTAACTAGTTGAGAAACAATCTTATCAGGTTCGAATTTAGAACGATACGTTTATGTCCCGTTTAGTTTTACTTTAAGTGGGAAAATAGGCAACAAAAGAAATTTTACAAATTTTCCATAGAAAATTCGTCACGTAGTCATTTTAATGTACAGTGATCTGCGCAGGTACTAGTAGCGGCACTATCACGCCCAACACGGTCCTGTACGTTATCATATTTTTGCAGAGATTTCTCTATTGATCACTCCTGGTATTATTACACTACTGCTAGCGTTGAGTTATACGTGTGTTGCGTGTAGCCTCTGTTTAGTAGTTTGTGTTTACGTTCATTGTGTTCTTTGTGTTTCAAGACGCGACACTGCTGGGAAAGTCACATCCTACAAATCCTACTATGGCACAATTAGCGTGAGTGATGCTCTTTACTCGGACACGCACGCGCGCGCACGCATGCACACCACACACCACCACACGCACGGAGCCACCGGCACGCACGCACGCACGGCACTGCACGCACAAACGCACGCACGTACAGCACATTGCACAACACACGTTGCATGTGCACAGGCAATGTGTGTGGTGCTGTGTGTGGAATGTAGATATACACCAACGTTTCGGTGGAGACCTCCACGTGCGCTGTCGCGATCAAAATGTCAAGTGCAATGATGGCCTCTGTTTTTGTTCGACTGCCAGAGACCTCTACGGGGCCGTGTCGCAGCCTGTGCGCGACGTCACAACGGCAACGGTCATTCGTCGGTCGCCATGGCGACGTCATCCAGAAGCCTGGCTCTTCGTCCTCACTGTATTTCATCGTGCAGGAGGTCTACAGCGCGTGCCAGACGTCGCCGATGCTCGGACGCACCAGGGGCGTCCGCGGAACCGTCGACCAGACCGTTGCCAGGGGTCGCCGTGGGTCCGGCTGCGGACTGGCTTGATTTTCGAGGGCTTGGTCCCTCAGGGGCCGGCGCCACCGTTGTCGGCGACGCGACGCCGCGCTGGGGGTTGACAGGGGGCGGCCGGCGCTCACCGGACGTCGGCGTGCCACGCTGTCTGTACGCTGCGATGGGGCCCGCGGCGGGGCTCGGCGGCGAGATCCGGGGAGCGATCGAGGCCCGGCGGGGGTCTGCGGGAAACGGGACCGCGGCGTCGGGAGCGAGCGAGGCCCGACGGGGGCCGGCGGGAAACGGAACGTCGGCGGCGGTGTCGCGCGGGGGCGGAGAGGGAGAGCGGACGACGACGTGGTACGTCCACGACAACGAGGGGGAGCTGACGCAGCAGCGGGAGCGCCGGCCCTCCGGCACCCCCGCCGGGCCTCCCCCCGCCCCCGCCGCGCGCCCCGAGAGACTGCAGCGACGACGCAGCCCCGAGAAACAAGAGAGCGTCGAGATCGCGCGGCGCGGCGGCGAGGACGCAGCGCGCGTCAACGGCGTCGCGGACCTCGACAAACAAGCGAACGGGGACGCCGGCGACGGCGGGAGGGACCGACTGCGCGAGTGCAACATTCGTAACCGCTTCGTGACGAACGCCAGCCGATCGATCGCCGCAGGTGCCGCCGGCGGTCACCCCCTCGCCTCGCCGCCGCTCTCGCGACGCAAGAACGGCGTCTGCCTGCGCGCGGCGGACGCCGTCGCCGGGGCGGCCATCTTGCTCGACGACAACGACAACGACGACGACGACGACGGTCGCCGCGGCAACTGCGCGCTCTCGCGGGCCACCATCTTGGACGCTAAGCGGGAGGCGGTGCCTCACGTCGGACGGGAGCCAATCAGGGTCGGCCTGCAGCGGACACGCCCCTCCCCGCGCGCGCAGGAGAAGGAGGAGGAGGATGGAGGAGGGCGGTGTCCTCCCCTGATTCTCGCGTCGCTGCCGCCGGTGCCGGGGCAGGTGGCGCCACCGCGTCTGCCCAACGGCGGCACGACCGTTCGCACGCTGCGTCCCCTGGCGAGGAAATCGTCGGAGCCGTCGTCGGAGCCGTCGCCGGAGCGATACTTGAAGTACATCCGGCTGCCGTCACTAGAGGGCAGCAGGTGCGTGTTCGACGAGTACTTCGAGGACGAGACGTTGGAGGTGTTCACGACCGACGACGACGACGGGTCGGTGGCGCCCCCCGGCGGCGGGCGAACGCGCGAGAACGGCGTGGCGTGTGGCGTGCACGAAACAAACGAACGTGCGGGCGCGGGTTCGGTCGGCAGTCTCGACGTTACGATCACGCAGGAGAGGGTGGAGAGGAAGGAGAGAGAGGAGACGGATAGGGAGGAGGTGGAGAGGAAGGGGCCAAAGCAGAAGGAAGTGGAGGGGTGGGAGCTGAAGCAGGAGCAAGGAGAGAGGAAGGAACAAGAGGGGAAGATGATAGAAAGAAAGGGGCCAAAGCAGGAGAAGGTAGAGAGGAGGGAGCTAAAGCAGGAGGAAGGGGAGAGGAAAGGACAAGAGGAGGAGGGGGAGGTATTGAGGAAGGAACACGAGCATGAGAATACGAAGAGGAAGCAGCAGGGGCAGGAGGAGCTAGAGAGGAAACCAGAACAAGAACAGCATGAGAGGAGGTGGTCAGAACAGGAGGGAAAGGAGCAGGTGGGGGTAGAGAGTAAAGAACGAGAGGCGGAGGATGTGGAGAGGAGAACGCCGGGGCAGGAGAGGAAGAAGATGGAGCAGGAAGAGGAGGGGAGGAAGGAGAGCCAGAGGAGGCCGACGCATCTTCTCACGCGCCTCATGCGGCGTCCGTCCGTGGCTGGACGCGACACGGCGCGCGTGTTCGACGGAGCGAGGGAACTGCCGCTGCCACGGTGAGAGCGCGCGTCCCCCACCCTCGTTAAACTGATTACGTCACCGCCATCAATTGTAAAATTCAAATATTACAAATAAGTCGATGTTATAATAAGTTAATTAATTTAATTAAAAAAATATTTCCACTTTTTCACAAAATGTAAGTGATTCTGTTCACTTTTTATGCTTAGATTACTGCATTATACTTCTTATTTTACTATATTGTTCGATGTGAACATACCCTCGTGATTTATACATAGTCCATAGCAAGCAATTAATGTCAGGATCATAATATCAAATCGTCCAGGTTTTTTGGATTTTTAACTAGTTGAGAAACAATCTTATCAGGTAAGAATTTGACGATACGTTTAGTCCTGTTAGTTCTTACTTTTAATGTAAAAAAAATAGCAACAAGAATTTTACAGATACACACCATAAAAATTCGTGACGTAGTCAATTTAAGGTACAGGTTCATTAGGAGCTATAGTATGAGAATTATACTGTTATCTCACGTATATATCGTGATTATCTCACAGTTATCTCACAGTTATCTCTCACGATTATATCGTGATTACTCACAGTTATCTCACAGTTATCTCAACGATCATAATCGTGATTATCTCACAGTTATCTCAGCGATGATATCGTGATTATATACAGTTATCTAACAGTTATCTCACAATTATCTCACAGTTATCTCACGATTATATCGTGATATCTCACAGTTATCTCACGATTATCTCACAGTTATCTCAGTTAATCTCACGATGATATCGTGATTATCTAACAGTTATCTCACAATTATCTCACGATTATATCGTGATTATCTCACAGTTATCTCACGATTATATCGTGATATCTGCACAGTTACTCCACAGTTATCTCACGATCATATCGGTGATATCTCACAGTTATCACGATTATATCGTGATTATCTCACAGTTATCTCACAGTTTATCTCACGATCAATATCGTGATTATCTCACAAGTTACTCACCGATGATATCGTGATTATATCACAGTTATCTAACAGTTATCTCACAATTATCTCACAGTTATCTCATGATTATATCGTGAATTATCTCACAGTATCTCACGATTATCTTACAGTTATCTCAGTTATCTCACGATTATATCGTGATTATCTAACAGTTATCTCACAGTTATCTCACAGTTATGTCACGATTATCTCACAGTTATCTCACAATTATCTCGTGATTATCTCACAGTTATCTCACGATTATATCACAGTTTTATCACGGTTATCGTATTCCTGATGTGTTGACTTTATCGCTGTGAGGCGCTGACGGATACGCGCAGTAGGGTCCCTATATACAGAGAGTTGTGCCATGACGAGTCGGAAAACTTGAGTCACGTGGTCGCTGGACGACATGTTGTTCTAATGGATACGCACGCTATGGCATAAGAAAGTGTAACAATTAAATTATGATATGGCGCGAAACGATTTGAGTTACATTTCTAGAAATCTAGTACACATAGAGCACATGTCTTAGCTATAATCTCTGTAAAGTTTGAGTTTATTGAAGAACGATGTAGTCTAATTAATTACTAACGGACCAATTGGCACAGCGTATCCATACAGCGCTGTACTTAAGCGGCAGCAGTGAGGATCCATTTGGAAAACAAATGGCGTCAAATCCTGAGTTGCGCAATCTCTCTGTATATAAGGGACCCTACGCGCAGCGCTACGCGTCAGACTTCTATCATGATTATATCACAGTTATCTCACCATTATATCACGGTTATATCACTGTTACAGCTGTGAGGCGCGGACGGTCGATGGGCGGCAGGAGAGTCTAGCATGGTCTCTTGTTGCCGGATACACGCAGCGCTACGCCTCGGACTTTGTGCTCCAGGGAACGACGGACGCCAACTTCAAGACGCGCCTCGTGCGCGACCTGTCGTCCGCGACGCAGCACGTCGTCGTCGACGAGCCCGTCTCCGAGAGCGTCGCCATCGTCGCCGACACCGACACCTGGTGAGCGGCGCAAGAACTAATTTTAATTTTTTTCTTTTTTATTTATTTCGGGTTGGGGAGGAAAGTGTATTATTTAGCCGCTTTTTTCCGTTTTTTTATTATTATTTAGGGTTTGGGAATGGCTGACAGTGTGTTTATCTGTTTTGCTGAGCTGCAGATGCAGCTCTATCTATATATTTGATTTTAAATTTTTTTTTTTTTTAATTTTGGGGTGTGGGAAGGTGAAAGGGAAAGTGTTTGTTTCGCCGGCATTTTAAGCGTAACGTTCTCTTGTTTCTCGCGCGTTTCAGGAGCGTGACGCAGCTGTCGTGTCAGGGTGAGCGGCCGGACGAGGTGACGGAGGCTCAGCTTCCGTTCGCTCGCCTCGTCGCCGACATGCTGGAGAGCGTTAACGAGCTGTGGAAGCTGCGCGTGCCCACCGAGTTCGTGAGTGCTCGTTAGTCGTTAATTAGTCGTCGTTAATTACCGTGTCTGTTATCATACTTACACGACATCTATACATTATTTTATATATACATATATATAATATATGTTCTGTATTGTTTTTATATGCATCATTGTATTTTAATTAAATTGAGTTATTAATAATTGATGTCTTAATTAATTGATTAACTTGTGTCTCGTGTCTCACACAGTGTCTCGTGTCTCACACAGTGTCTCATGTCTCACACAGTGTCTCGTGTCTCACACAGTGTCTCACACAGTGTCTCGTGTCTCACACAGTGTCTCGTGTCTCACACAGTGTCTCATGTCTCACACAGTGTTTCTGTGTTTCTCACACGTGTCTCGTGTCTCACACAGGCTGTCTCGTGTCTATCACGTGTTTCTCACCACAGTGTCTTTTGTGTATCACACAGGTGTCTAGTGTCTCCACTCCAGTGTTCATGGTCTCACACAGCTGTCTCGCTGTCATCACACAGCTGTCTCGTGTCTCACACAGTGTTTCATGTCTCACACAGCAGTCCTCGTGTCTCACACAGTGTCTCACACAGTGTCTTCCGAACACAGTGTACTCGTGTGTCTTCACACTCGTGTCTCACACGTTGTTCTCGTGTTCACACAGTGTTCGATGGTCTCGCACAGTGTCTCACACAGTTGTCTTCGTTCCTCAACAGCTGTTCTCGATGTCTGCGCACCAGTCTCTCTCAGGTCTCACACAGATGTTTTCTCGCCACACGTGGCTCTGACTGTCTCACACAGGTGTCGTCACACGCAGGTGGTCTCGTCGTCTTCACACAGTGTCTCACCACAGATGTCTCGTGTCTCACACAGTGTCTCGACACGTCTGTTTCTCGTTGTCTCACACCAGCTGTTCACACAGTGTTCTCGTGTCGTCACAACAGTGGTCTCGGCTGTCTCCGCAAGTGTCTCGTGTCTCACACCACGCTCGCTCGTTGTCTTCACACAGGTCGTCTCATGTCTCACACAGTCTCACACAGTGTCTCCATGTCTCACACAGTGTTCTCACACTAGTTCCTCGTGTCTCGCATCGTAGGTGCGCTGTGTCTCACACAGTGTCTGGTGTCATCACACAGTGTCTCGTGTCTCACACAGTGTCTCATGCATCTTGAGGACCGGCTACAGGAGCTATACTTCCAGTCCAAGCTAGTCGTTGAGTACATCAAGTCTCGCAACTACGTCGACCTTTGGCTCGATGGTCGGCTCCGCTCCCTTCGGGTCATGAGCTGCCGCCGCCGTCCACCACGCCACGCTTACCGCCGCACAGTTCACGCTTCGCCGGACGTCAGCTTAAACATAGACCCGCCGTGTAGGACTACCGCCGCCGTCACCGCCACGCCGTCGTTTGTTACAGCCGCCATGTCCACCTGCATCGCCGTCGTCAGTCTAACTGGCCTGCGTTAGCACTGATTCGACCGCGTCCCACGCCAGCTTACAGCCGCACAGTCCACGCTCGCCGGCGTCAGTCTAACTCCATTTACACGAGCCATGGAGTGTTTATCTTCCCCGCGATTTTTTTTTTGTGTGGAAAGAAAAAACGGAATGCACAGATTTTTGGGTTTATAACTCCAACTAGCACGCTCAGCGTTACTTTTAATTATAGTTTTATTTGTTATACATTTGTTAATTCTATTACATTAATTGGATTAGAAAATCTCAAAGGAGCGAAGCTTGTTGTTTGGCGGCTTACTTGCGCGCGCGTGTGACTTATTTTAACTGAATTTAACTGGAGATTATAACTGATTAGAACTGATTTAACTGAGCAGTATGTTAACAGATTTTAACTGAGTAGATTTAACTGAGCAGATTTCACTGATTTAACAGCCAGATTTAACTGATTTAAGCTGAGTGATTTTAACAGATTTAAACTGAGCAGATTTTAACTGCATTTGATTCGTGGCTAGATTTAACAGATGTTTTAACATGTATTAGTAGATTTATAAACAGATTTTTAACCCATGAGCAGATTTAACAGATTATGTACTGAGACAGATTTACTGAGGGTACTGACTTAACTGATCTTCTTAACAGGCAGATCTTAATGCTGCTATTTAAAGCAAATTTAACAGATTTAGACAGCATCATCACTTTAACAGGATAAATTTCATCATTCAGATTTAACAAGATTTAACAGGATTTAACAGCAGACATTTAACAAGATAGGAATTCACAGCAGAAATTCTAAAAATTAAGCGGAGATTTATAACATATGAATTATTATTTAACAGGGCATTTAAAGTCATAGAAGAGGTTTTACTACGGACTATTGGAACCTGTTGGTAAAAACCTCGGTAGAGGAATTTAAACTAGAT